TAAGCTGTTCTGTCTGTGCTACGCTAAATACATAGGCATTTTTGTAAATTCATATTATCGTTGTTGCAAGCAAGGATTCAACACGTTAACACACTCTGAACTCGTTTATCTAGTCCGACCAATCTACCTATTCGCGCTGCCAACTGTGTATAAGTATGTGTTCAGCGGAGTGCGCTTTTGCTTGATACAAGTGAATCACCTGAATCAACTTAGGCAATCAGAAGCCGGCACCTTCTCACCTTTTCGCCAGACCTACCTTGTTGCGTCCATCAACGAGCAATTCCTGTGGCTGTTCGTCTCAGAACGCGACCGTGTAATGGCTATGGCGGAAGGGGGCACAGCTGGTTCGGCCGGCGGGGGCCAGCGGCCACAGTCTGTTGCTAGCTGCCCCCACTATAATGTCGAGTCCCGTTCGCTTCGACTCCCGCATTCGCACGCGGTCTCACACGAAGAGCAAAAGCCGGGACAAAAGAAAAAGTCAGAACGATTGTAGGAAAAAACGTTAAGATACTACGTGAAGCAGAAAAAGAAAAGCTCATTTGTGTGCATTTCCATTACAAGTGTATCTAACAAGCTCCCGTGTTCTGTGCCGCCGCTGCTGCTGGTGCTGTAGCAGCGCGACAGCGGTGGCGGCCGAGGCTACCGCCGCCCGGGGGTGGTTCCCGCGCTACTGAGTCCTCTGCTATTACCACTACTCAGTGTTACTACGGCTTCGTGTCCTGCTTTCAGATTCCACGAACATCTTAGCGGTACCGAACGCCCGGTCTTTGCCGGACAATCTTGCCCAGCCTCTTTCGAGCGGCGTTAACAAAAAACCTTTTTGAGTGGACGGCGTGGCGGCGGCGACATCTTCCTGCAGTCCTTTAAAGATAACGAGGGAAAAAACCGAACTAGAGCTGTTTACGCTGATGCTGCTACCAGCGTCGCTTTTGCTGAGAGTAATAGAAGTAAGGTCAGACTTTTAACTGCTGCTGCAGCCGGTGGTACCAGTGTTACCAAGCAGGGAATGAATGGGGCCAGGTTCGTTGATCTGAAAGGTAATTTCCACTATTGCGACTCTGCCGACGTAGCCAACGGTGCTCACTGGGAGAACTGCGCGGCTTCAGAGGGAAGGAACTCGGTCCCCGGCATTGAGAGGCGGGCCGGATGCTGTCTTTTCCGTATTGCACTGCGTTGACCAGGATCGAACGGGTGAGGGCTAGGCGCGAGTGGGTAGAACTTGTCTCCACAGTGTTGCACTCACAGCATCAGCTAGTCAGCACTGTTGGGTAGGCTGGGCCCATTTGTTTCGCTTCGAATGGGCTTGAGACCTGCTGTTAGCCTCTCGTTTATATATATATATATTATACATGTGCGCCAGTTGATGGCCAATGGCTGCACTGTTGCTGATACCACTACACAGCCTTAACCGGTGCTAGAAAAGCCGACAGCCACTATCCGATCCGTAGCCTCCGCTGTTGCTCTAGTCAACGCGGTGCACAAGCTAAGAATAAACAGCAGACGCAGAGAGGGAGAAAGCAAGGGGTTCAGGGGTGCACATTAGGACAAGCGCAGCACTACGAGGAGAGACGCGTCACCTCCAGCACCAGCATGATTAAACAAGATGCGGCTAAAGGAGGCAAAAAGCAAGGCCAAGGGACAAGAAAAACGATCGTGATTGTTAGAGTTGTTGCTGCAGTAACAACGTAGTCACAGTTAGTGCCGTTATTACTAGAGTCGCCGCTGTCGCTGTTACTATCTACTAGCTATTACAATGCATTATTCTGCGTGAATAAGAGAACAGGCTACAGCGGCGACGAGTAAGAGGCAAGGGCAATGTCGAATGTGGCTTAATAGTCTTTCGCAGGGAAACATTTGCCCGCTGTACTCTCCGACATGTTAAGCGTGACCTAGATGGACAACCAGAAAAAAAACGTCATAACAATGTCAGCTGGCGGAATCACTAGCTCCTGTGTATACTCTAAAGCGACACCACTCATGCACAAGAGTAAATATCTCTCCTTTTGTTGTATTTGGTTTTCGGTAGCGGACATGCTCGCCATAGACATGTCAGCCTATGCAGGATTTGTTTTACCTATATATATATTATATACTATATTTTTGATAGGTAATCGGTGAATTCAAATTTGGCTGAAAAACGTAAGAGAATATTTTTTTAGCTATATATAGAAAGCTGCGTAACTTCTTATATACGATTCACATCTGCTACAAAGCTCCCAAAAGGATTCTGTAGCCGAATAACGCGCTTACGATTCCCATTGCTGGCCGTGTGTGTCAGCCGATTGAAGCCATGTAATTACTGTAAACTTAAACTTTTTCTCTAGTAGCCCGTGTACTATGTAAACAGATATCATATACAATTTGTCCTGGAAGAAAATCCTATTTCGACCTGGTCTCGTATCATGCGGTGGTCGATGCAGCTCCAATGTACTGAACGTTGACATTACGCGAGGCATGTCGCAGTAATGGCCGAGTAACGACGATTACCTCAGCGTTCAATGTTCATTGTTGCGTTCCCCAAGAACCACACGAATAGAGCTACCTTGAAAATGAATGGTGACAACCGGTGAAGCCTGCTTCCGGCTTCGTGTTGTGTTTCGAATGAAATAGCCTTACGTTCGAGCGCGTGCATGACTTTTTGGCCCCTGGATATTACCGCTGTGTTCGCTGCAGTAGCAGTCGATTAAAAGGGGCTTTCCTCATTTTCCAAAAGGTTCGAAGGAAATCTTAGCGGCTTTCTGACGGAGAGGCGTTGCTACAAAGACGTCTGCGGCGGGCCCAATTCAAATCAGATGCAAACGAAATAGGATGAAAGCCATGTCGAAGTGTTGTATGCGGTGAGTTCATTCGAAAATAGAAAATGATTGAAAAAGTTTTCTTGTCGCACACATCGAGGGACCATTTAATTGCAAATGAATTTGTACTAGTAGCATTATTGCAATAGAATGCGAAATCGTTTACGTAACGTGGCGTTTGTTACGGCCTACTTGCCTGAGTAATAGCATTCTGTAGTCTGGGTCTATAAATAATCGAATTAAGGTCCTATGTGTTGCCTATCGAGTTGGATTTTTGTTGGCAATTATAGCCACGCGAACTGTTACCGCCGCTTGAACCTGTCCTGTTCATGTGTTACCGTATTATCAATCGTTGATTGCTATTAGTGTATCAGTTACGTGAGGCGGCACCTTCTTTGACCTGTTATTTTTTATTAATCAAATGTTCCTTAATTGTGATGCTTAAATGATTTAAGCGGTAATGTCGCTTGAAAGAGTATTTATCATAATACCAACCAATTTTACCCCACTCAGTGTTTATACTACGCTACACTGGCGCCCGGCTCTTTACCGTGCTGAATCATGCGCTTCTAGTACGTCTGTTTCTAGATAAACGTTCTTCACTGTTCACATACGTCTGTTTTCGATAAATCAACGAGTCAATTAGCGCACGAGGGTTCAGTATACGCTAATTGATTGCTCGAAGAAACGGTTCAGCTAAACTGTGATACCTAACTCAGTTTTTATCTAAAGTGCATGCTGAAAGTATTATGACGCGAACAGATAATCTATGAGTCGTTATCTATGGTGGCTACCCTTCGGTTTCGTGCCAAGATCGTCGAACGCTATAAACATGCGTCTGTATATAAGAAGGCCTATGCTGTAAGCCTACGATTGATTATACTTCTTTGTTTGTTGATACGAAATCTAAATGCTCGATAGCTTTTCGCAGCGCGTCATAAACCGAGCACGAAGTTAAAATAACAATTTAAATTAAGTATTCAGATTAAAACGTTGCGTTAACGTATTTTAGAATGTGCCCAACGTATAGACTCATCGATTTTATTGCAGGACACGCTTTATTACCTTAGTGATATGACTTCAAATAGCCGGATACGCTAGATCGTGACCCCCGAGCAAAGCTAGATGCGACAAGATCGCTAACATAACCTGGTGAAAAATTGACTTTCGTCACAGATATAGACTTGCTACAATTACATGTGCTATAGGCAAGATGTGCCAAGCATGGAGAGCAAGATATGCTGACTAACCAGACTGATAGAACGCATACGCGTGTTATTATAATGAGGCACATTTTGTAAACGCAAGAGACGCAGCGAGGGGGTAGGGATGGGCCTGAATCGGGCTATATTTTCCAACCACGGGCGAGAGATAACAGAAGCGCTGCCCAGGGCAGTGCCAACCAATCGCGAATTGTCGCAATGGTGCTATCGCTAAGGAGCAGTCGTCGCAACGATGAAACGCGCACGACGAAGGTCGAAGAAAAGCCTCCTGCTGTTACAGTTACCCAAAATAGCAATGAAACAACCAGCAAACGGCGAAGATAAGACTAGCGAGGATGGCAAAGAGCTGCCGGAAACGAAAAGATTCATTTCGTAACTCCAACCCCTTTTCGTACACCCAGGCGCATCCAAAAAGATAGTCAGAAAAACGACGATAAGAAAAAAAAACAAAAATTACTTTTTTTGTCACCTCCGCCATCCCTATTCTTCCCTACAAAAAATTCGTTCGCTTCCTGTACTCACTGCGACAAGACCGCAACGAACGGCTGCAAGGGTAGAATCTGTTTGTGAATAGCTAACTGTAATCGAAAAGGAACGCCTGTATGTCTTACAGCACCAAGGATGAAAGTGTGAGCATAGGTCATGGGTTACAACACAATTTACTAACCTCAGCCACTAAATAAAAAGAAATTTACCTTTGAGGTATAACTAGTCCAGCTTCTAAAGCTATAAAGCTGCGGTATGAACTAAATCTATTAGATAATGAACTGAAGTACTGTTCTAGGCACACTACACAGATTTTTCAATCATTCTGCACGATTCTTCAAAAAGAAAATAAAAATGCCGACTTAATGTATAAGGCGTCATTCTTGAAAAGGACGCGTCTTGGCTGCTTTTGGTGTTCACTTTTTTCAAACTTCGACTAATTTCCTTGTAACTTTACAGCTAATCCTGTTCTGTAATTGTTGCTTGCCAGCTGTTGCGGTCCGCTTGTGGCTCGTCTAGGAGATGCTTAAATAAAGATCACAACTTAGGAAGGTCTTATGGAAAGACAACTCACGAGGTCAAGGTTACTTTTCATCGCTTTTTTGGAAGCCCATCTATACTTAACGGTACCTTTTTTCTGAGATAATAATAGGCCGCAATAGAGAAAGTAATATATTGCTGATTGATCGTATCGTTACTAACAACGGTCTGTCTTCCCTGCATAAATTGGTTGTGTGGTAGTACTCGTTGAATAGTAACGGATGGATCGTAAACTTTTTAAATTGTGCAAGTTGCAAATCCTTAACTAGGCTATAGTTTTATAGAAAAATAGAAATCTATACAACAATAAATAACCGTAAATTAAACCATATGATCCTTCTGCGTAACCTACCCAGATGTATGAATGTCAAGGTTTTTGTTGTCGCCTCTGCAGGACACGAAGAATAGCCTGTGTAGCGATAGCCTTAAGTAACGTTGCCAGCTAGATAATTCAGTTCTTAAAACACTCGGACCGCTTGGGGTGGAAGAGGCATATTAAAGTTTCCCCGACTACAACCGAGGGCTGGTGTCAGGCCGTGTTACACAGCCCGTTCAGACATAAAGTCACAAATCTTGGGCTGTAAAATAGCTATTTTAAAGTAAGATCTAATATCATCCGGTCAGTTCATGTGAGTGGCTATACAGTCTAGCGGTAGCCCTTCTAATTGAACATGATAAACTTGTGTGATAGTTCAAACGAAACTGAGACGCAACGATGTTTTTTTAGCACGTGTTCGCTCATTGTGTGCTCATCAAGACCGCCATCTGCAACATAAGAACATTTTTCATAGGTACGTTCTTAAACATTTGAGTTTCACTTCGGGATCAAAGAGCTCCTCTGTGATTACCTAAAAAACCCAACAACAGCTATTGTTTAGCATTAACCTATAATCACTAACTTTGCGATTTCATATTACCTGAATAGAAGCAATATTTGAAGTAACTTGAGGGATTGTGCTGTCTTTTGATACTAAGTGAAATGCTCCAACACTCTACGGTTATAAGATTATATAGTATATATATATATATATATAAAGATATAACGTAAATTTAGTTGTTTGCATCATTGATTAGTCTATTGTAGGGGAGTGTGGACACAGTGAGAGCTATACCTTGCATGCTTGTGAAACAAAAGCTAAGTTATATAAACTTTAAGAAGAAATATATTAGCCAATTCAAATGATTTAGATGCGGCACTCGCGTTTTACCTTGAAGTAAAAGTTGTTCCCACACTTTAAACTTGCATTTAGGATCATATTTATATTTATGAATGCCATACTGTTGCTGTTATTCGAGTGCATCTTGATAACATCCTCTGTTATTATCTACTCCCTTAGGCGTAACGGATCACTCAACGTCATCAGCTCGTTACACCGTCTGTCTCATCCTAAATTACCGATCATGTACGTAATAGCTACTGTATATATGCAGGACACTCTGGGAGTGGCCTTTTTGACAGTCATGTAACACATACGAGCTAGACAACGTGTTTCAAGCTAACCTGACGTATTTCGACACCTTCAATGAGCTTTCCCGGTACTTCCGTATGCATTCATCAGCTTTTACCCTGCTTCCAGCTGCGCAACAAATGTCTTGTTGAATTCAAGCCATCCCATTAAATTTAGCATCCCATGTCATAATAATACCTATACTTTTTAACTATACCATGTAAAGCAGATGTCTAAAAGGCCTATCAAGTAGAACAGATTGGTTAAGGTTTGAATTTGTATCTATCAAGCACGAGAAAAAACGTATAGATGTTAAAGGAAATCTTCATGTTTTTGAAAACGAATCAATTATATTTTCGTTCCTACACCCTCCCCCCCCCCAAAGGTAGACGACTAAACGGATTTGGTGGTGGAAGTTTTTGGTACGTCTTACGGATCCTCGTCTCCCAACAGGGCTTATCAAGGCCCACTTGAGGTTAAAAGGTACAGCTTCTGTGCATCATCTAGATGGGGCAGCCTTCCTTGGCCCTTCAGCGTATGAAAGTCGATAGTTAACGGTAAGACACTACATGATCGTTGCCACATGAGCAAAGGTAACTGCAGAGTTAATTATGCTATCTATAGAGCCTTCTAAGGAAAGAATACGCCGATATCCAGCAGGTGCGAGACGAATCAACTGAAACCTTGTACGTGGCACTAGGAAACAAGCTTAGCCTCGAACGTGGCCGGCCACACTCTACTCTGTAATGATCATATTTGTATGGTGCTAACTAAATGATGAAACTATGAGGAAGCACTACCCTAATTACGATAGAATTGAGAAATTTTGTATGAAAGCAAATTTCTAGTGAACGACACTGTCTATCGAGGTGTTTACTATGGTAATAGTAAGACTGCTGTTAGCAGAAATTATTTCGGTAACAGTCTACTTTCATAAATGACGACATAACCATCGTGACAGGTATGTTTGTTTTGTTAAGGTATTTATTATAGGTTGGATCACCGTGGCGCCCATAGGACTAGATCAAATTAATCAAAACGTATTATCGAACTAATTGATTATGTACTTAAGGATAT